ATATTTATATTTAAAGAAAGAAAGGAAATAGTAATAGTATAACGTAAACAATAATTAAAACTAATACAATAGTTAAAAATAATTAAAAAGTACTGACATTGTTTTAAATATAAAAAAATAAGACACAATTTTTTTCTTCAAACTAAGATTAATGGAATTCGATGTTTATTTAGAAAAATTGCAAAATTTTTTATAATGTTTAAAAATTTCATTTTTTATTAGAAACTTAACTTAGAGTTTAATGATTTTACCGTATTTAAATGTTTGGTTTTTTGAAATGTGTTCCATAGTTTTAGTCCACGGTATGCTATTCCGTATTAAGAATACTTGCTCTTATTTCTAGGCAGTTTATAAGTATTCCATTGGTTTATTCTGAGATAGTAATTATTGTTAACATTTTTGTCAGATGTCAGAAAAGGACGTCACTATATAGATTTTTTATTTAGTTTAATTAACATGGAAAACTACGTAAACATGTAATTTTGAAAAGATATTTTTATAATTTTATTTTTTTAAAGGTATAGCAGCAGATTCAAATATCATTGCAAGATGAAATAAATATTTTTGGAATTAAAATAGGGAGGAGGGTTAGGATTTTACAGCGTCCTTTTCCAGGGCAGTATAGGGAAAAAAGACAACCGGTGACAAAGTGTGGGGAGGGGTCAAAAATTGGCTAAAAAATGGTGACGTCCTTTATGAAAGGCCCCAAAGAAAAATATATTTTAATACGTTGTATTTGCTACCAGAAAACAACGCTAAAAATTTAAAATGGCGGGTAATGTAAGCAATAAAAGTGCAACATTTTTTTTTTATTTGTTTTTTAACTCGATTTCGTTTTTACATGGATTTCATATAAAACTATCTTAAGCTACTGTTTAAAGACATTTTATGAATACTAGATAAAAAATTTGATGAAAATGTTGCGCCTTTATTGCATGATTCATCAGATGAGTTTTGTGTACAGAACTAATACAGAATGAATTTTTTAAATTTAATGAAAGGTTTTTGCACGTATATATTTATCAGTGAATAAAATTTTAAATAAAAGCAAAAAGTCTGATTTTTTTTTATTTAAATTTTTTAACTGGTATTCCTATAAAAATAAGTATACATAAAGTATCATACTTTTTTGTATAGGTATATATTTACATGTATATATATATATATATATATATATATATATATATATATATATATATATATATATATATATATATATATGTATGTATATATATATATATATATATATATATATATATATATATATATATATATATATATATATTTATATATATATTTATATATATAATATATTCTATAAATAAACAAATCTATTGACTTGTTTAAATATGGTATTTAAATAAGTCAGAAGATTTATTTATGTATTTGTTATAACTTACTTGTGGAAAATAATGCGGCTTTCATTCTTATTTGGTGTGGTTTCAGTAGGATAAACGTTATAGGAAGATATGGAACGCAGCAACGCCATCTCATAAAGGATAGTGGTAAATATATGGCTACAATATGCTTACCACACATGTTTTTAAAATTTTTTTTAAATAAAATAATAACGTAACTTTTGCAACAGTTGTTGGAAATCGGCTGGTAGTACGATGATTACTGGCTTTTATTGCCAGGATTCTGAGGCCAGAAGACTCCCTTTACATTATTCCAAACAATGAATTTCATTAGACTTAGTAGGCTTTAGATATAAAAATAGTACCGTTAAAGATAGGTTTTTTCCATAAGTCTCTTTGACTAAATATAACAGGTCACTTGCTAGATAACATGATTTCTTTTAGAGGTCCCTATATATCTATATATATATATATATATATATATATATATATATATATATATATATTATATATATATATATATATATGTATACATATATATATATATATATATATATATATATATATATATATATATATATATTTATATGTATATATATATATATATATATATATATATATATATATATATATATGAATATATATATATATATATATATATATATGTATATATATATATATATATATATATATATATATATATATATATATATATATATATATATATATATATATATATATATATATATATATATAGATATATATAGATATATATATATATATATATATATATATATATATATATTTATATATATATATATATATATATATATATATATATGAATATATATATATATATATATATATATATATATACATATAAATATAAATATATATATATATATATATATATATATATATATATATATATATATATATATATATATATATATGAATATATATATATATATATATATATATATATATATATATATATATATATATATATATATATATATATATATATATATATATATATATATATATATATATATATATATATATATATATATAGATATATATATATATATATATAGATATATATATATATATATATATAATATATATATATATATATATATATATATATATATATATATATATATATATATATATATATATATATATATATATATATATGTGAAGGAAAAAGAAGCCAAGCAAAACAACAATATTCAAAAAATGAATCAATTTTTTATATTAAAATACTACTAAGGAAATATTAAATAGTACTAGAGGCATTTTAGTATTGATCATCAGTAGTACTATTGCAAATGTAATTATCATGATTTTGATTTATGTAAAAAGTTATATAATAGAAGTATTTAATAGCAGTTTTTGTAACTATGAGTTACAATTGTTATGTTATTATAAAAGGAAGTATTAGTTGAAGGTGTCATGTTTTTGTTTATGCAGATAATTTTTATAGGTCAACAAATTATTTTCATTTTTTAATTCGAGAAAAAAATAAAGCTGAAAAAATGGCTCCATAGTTGTTTTGTGTACTTTCTTGCAATCATATACATGATTGTCGAATCTATTAGTTGAATTGCCAGTTTTGCAACCGGAAATATGTCCATTTGTGCGGTTTCTTAAATTGTTTATTTTTCCAGTATAAGTAGATAGTCCATTACATGATAAGCATTTTAGATAATAAATGACATTTTTACTATTACATGTAATGTGACTATTAATGTTCCAAATTGTGCCATTGGATGTCTCAAACTTATCTATTTCTTGTAAATATAATCGGCAGATTTTACATCGACTGTTTTTGCATTTGATTAATCCCATTTTTTTGACAGATGACGTAGAGTGAATTTTTGAGCGCGTAATTTGTCTAAGTAAGTTTGGTGGTTGTTTGTATGCTATTACTGGTTGAATATTTGAAAAAACTTTTTTCAATCTTTCATTATCAGATAAACTAATTAAAAGGTTAGCTTTAGTTAAAACTGGTTGACAGTTTAAATTACTATAGAAGGTAGTCACCAAAGGAAAGACTTTTTTTGATTGTTTCATTGGCGCTGGCCCTTGTAACTTTGCATTATGAAATGCTATTTCTATTATATTGTCAGGGTAATGGCACTCTTTTAACTATATTTTAAGTTCCGTTAGACGTACTTTTTCTGTAGCATAATCAGACGTTAAAACGATTATTCTTTTAGGTAGGTTATAAGGTATGTTCTTTTTTATGTGATACGGATGATGACTGTTAAAGTTTAAATAATCATGAGTGTTTGTTTCTTTGTAAAAAATATCCGTTTTAATGTATTTGTTGTTTTCAAGGATAACCGAAATGTCTAAAAAATTAACTGTGTTATATACTTTTTCGTTTGCTTCGAATTCGACGCCAAAATCTATTGTAAAATTTAATGAATCATGTAGTTCTGTAAGGGACATTTGAAACTTAGCAATATCTATATACTTTGGTAATATGTTAAAACCATCATCGACATATCTAAAATAAAACTGTTTAATAATTTTAACTTCTTCTTTCAAAAAATATTTTGATAAAATTTTCGAAAAAAGCATTGTTTCTTCTAAAAAACCAATTGTAAGACAAGCATAGTCTGGTGAAAAATCTGTGCCCATGGCTGTTCCTGTAATCTGGCGAAACAATTGATCGTCAATGTAGAAATTATTATTTTTAAGAATGAAAGAAGCTGAATTTATGATAAAATCAGTGGTAAATTTTTCGGCTATTAGATTTTTATGTTTTTTAAACCAAAATTTTAATGCTTGTGAACCAAGATCATGTGGAATGCTTGTGTAGAGATTTACAATGTCACAATTTGACAATCATGTATATGATTGCAAGAAAGTACACAAAACAACTACGGAGCCATTTTTTCAAGTATTTGATTGCTGCAATTAAGTGATTTATTGATAATAATTTATTGATAAAAGTGTCTAGACTAGGTCCTACTTGTTTTAGAAAATATAACTGTATTTAATTGTTGTACACTGTATCTTCTACTGTTATAAACCACGCCAGAAAAGAAACCTTTAGTGGAAATTAAATTATACTCAGTCAAAATGCATTCCATATAACTTTCTGGTGCAATATCAAAGACCTGTTGTGCAATTTAAATTTTTATTTTTTTAGTTTTTCTTCTAATCTTTCAAGTATTTTATTTTTCTTTAGTTTTTTTGTAATATTAGCACATTCATCAGCATCCATCATCTTTAACTATTTTCCATCAAAATCATTTTATTTTTTTAAATTCTTAGGTTATATTATATCGTTTTTCACTAATAAAGTAGTAATAATTAATCTTTTTCGTTTTAATGAATTTAAAAATGAAAAAATGTAAAAACAAGATTTAGTAAAATATACTTGCGATAGAACACTCAGCTCTCAATCAATAGGTTGAATGTTCAAATTCAGCTAACGTCTATTTAAATACTATGGTCAACTTGTTTCTCTTCTTAGCAGTTTAAAAAGATTTCATAGTTTAGGGTTAAAAAAGTTTCAAATAAAAGTAAAGCAATTAATGAGTAGTTTCTTCGATTGTGGTGTGAATTTACTAAAGAAACAGATTTAAAGAATTACTTGAGACATTAGAATAACACAAAAAGGACCTTTTGGGTTTCCATCTTTGTCACCCATGCCGCTGATCATAATATTACCATCTGCAAGACAATGTGTTGTATGTAAGTAACATAGTTTTGCATTTTCGAACATTTCATCATTCTGAATAACCTAAAATTATACAATTTATTTAAACTATTATTTTTAAACAAATAGTTACGTAAATTAATGTTTAATTCAAACTTAGTTTTTATTTTAAATGGAAATTTGCATTATTTTGCTATATTGCTGTACAACGTTACTTTGCAGTAAGGTTGTACAGCAATGTAGCAAAAAAAACAAACATTCAAATTTAGAAATAGTTTTCTAATAGTGACTGGATAATAGTTTTTATGCAAAAAATAGTATTCCTAAAAAAAAAAAAAAAAAAAAAAATTAGAAACACATTTTTAAAAGTTTTCTAAAAAAGAAATGATATTTTTAATAGAAGAAGCTAAAATACGGCAGCAGTACTCGATACAATAATTAATAAAACATTTATAGAAGTAGACAACAGAATCAGGAGAATGAAATCAGCAAGCGTTGTAAACAAAGACAACCTTAACATAATTTTATTTTGAAATAGATTGTATATAATGTTTAAATGAGAGTTTTCCATGATTTCTATAAATGATCAGTATTTAAAGATACCTTGTAAAGATTTTTATATATAAAAAAAAACGTTAGTAGTAAACATGCTGCTTTATAAAAAGCAATAAAAAAAAAACAATATACCTCACCTCACTTGTTTTATTCAATGTTATTTCAAAAAATTAAGAAAATTTTATCAAAACACTTGAAGCTGCAGGGAAACTAGTACAGGAGAGAGGAATTTGGGCTATCTCGCTTGTGAACAATGGTGGAATTAGCGTCTATTATTCACCTAAAAGTTAATGGTATGTTAGCGAAAGTTATGGTAGACACGAGATGTTTAAATACAACTATAAATCAAAAAATGTTGCTAAGAAATTAAAAGTAAACCAAGTACCCTCCAAAGCTAGTAACATTTGATGGTAAAATCCATCAATGTAATGTATCAGCAGTTCTTATTATTTAGGTTGATGGTATCTAAGTACAAGACAAAGTTATTTTGGTGGATTTTCAACCGTTTGGAGTTATACGTTGCTTGGAATGGGTTCTATTAAATTGCTATGAGGAGTCTTTATTTCCCCTTCTGAAATGGCAAAGTTTGAGTTCAGCTCGTGCGAAATGGCAATCTCAAACAAATATTAAGTCAATAAAATTAAATGAAATACAGAATCATGAAGCTATATTCAATTGCGTTGAATGGGAAGTTAAATGGAAATATAGAAATAAAGAAGACACTAACCAATTTCTCAACAAAATTGTCAAACATCATACTAAAAAATGCAAGATCAGAATATGAAATCGATCTACGGGATTAGATCAATTGTAAATTATTTATTGAATATAAATAAAATAAGATAAGACCACTCAAAGAGCAAATTTTTTAAATGGCTATTATCAACGAAATAAAGATTATAAAGTCAAATCCGTTTTAAACGGGAGAGAAGCTAACAATTTTATCGAGAAGTAAACAAAAGATGTAGATGTGTGTGTTGAAAAGTTGAGGGAATGTAGAAGAATGGGAAACAAACCAGGAATTATTGATATATGCAAGGCTTTTCTCCAGTTAAAAACTGAGGATTCTCTTTGGCCATTGAAAACAGTGTTTTTTTTAAACAAAAACTATTTTTGACAGGACTTAGTTTTGGATTGAATGTTACTCTAATGATCATGAATTCTGTTGTGAGTGTATTATTGATCAAGAGAATTTGGTGAATTAGGAAGTATCCGCTTATGTGGACGACATTTTTGTCAATTAGTAAGTAGTGCGTCTTGGTTATGTCAGAATACATTTCAAAAAATATGGTTTGGAAAGTAAGGAAAGTGAACAGATTGAATGTAATGGGATTTGTTTGTCCACAAACAGAAAAGTAGTGTTTTCCGTTTGTGGGCAAATAGTTGCTTACTTGCTAGTCTGTGGTTTGTTATGCCCAGTATGCAGCCTTTTGAAAAGAAGAGATAAAGGGTTGGGACGATGAAGTTTGCAATGAAAATTAAAAGTGTGTAATTCAAGAAGTTTTTGATGAGGTAGGAAAGTGCGATTCAGCTTATGGTAATTGGACTGTACATGATGACGAGTGTGACGTATGAGTTGAGGCTAGTTTTTGGCAAATGATGCTCATATTCAAATTGGTAAAACTATTGTAGAAAATGCAACATGGCTACAAAAAGAAATGTTTGATGATCACATAAAGATGGTGAAGCTGGATGCTGCAATGCAAGAAAGAAAAAAAAAAGTGGCTTTGACGTGAAACTGTAGAAAGTGACTATTTTTCGAATTCCGTGACAGTGATCCACTGGGTCTCTGACGCTCTCACTGGTAACTCAAGATTGAAATCAAACGCAATGGGCGAAATATTAATTCGAAAAATTCTTAGCGTTCTGCAACAATTTATTGAAGAATATGGTTTTAATGTTAATGTGAAACTTGTTCCTTTAAAATATAACTTACGCGTTAGCAAGAGTTCGAAGCAGATGGTTGAATAAATTGACAGAAGCTGAGTATTTTAGTAATTCCGTTAGAGTAGTAGTTGCAGAGGCTGAATCCATTTCTAGCATACTCAAGAGAAATGGGCACTTTAGAGTGAATCGAATGTTAAACTTTGTTCGTAAAGTAATTTCAAACGCTACCGAAAATGACTTTTGAGATGCAATTATTAATTGCGAACCATGTCAAGTAATATTTCAAGCACCTGTAAAATGGGTAAAGAAAAAACTAAACTTATCTTTTGTGAACGAGGAGTTTTTTATTAGTAGCCCTATGCGCTGGAAAAATTTGACTGAGGTAACTGGGCAGTCCATTTACCAAACGTCCCAAATAAGATAAAGTGCGCTCATAGAGACTGCTCGGCCATTGTTGAAACAAAACAACCAACTAAACCAAAAGAAAAGATGAAGTTTTTGAAACTTGATTGATTGAAGGAATCCGTCATCTAGATGTTCTGAAGCGATCAAATATTTTTCTTATATCAAGTTGCTCAACAGAATCTACAAAAAAAAATTTTAGTCAATATTTCCTTCAATTTGCATTTTGCTTTGTATTTTTAAAAAAATTCTGGTTTCCTTGGCTGAAGGAGAGCGCTCTTTTAGTAAGCTTGCTTTCATCAAATTCAAATTGCGATCAACAATGACTGAAGAACGCCTTGCTAACCTTATGGTGACTTCAATCGAAAAGAACCTTGCCATGACTTAGTCGTATGAAAATGTCATTTCTAAATTTGCAAAGAAGAAAGCCCGCAAAGTGAAATTAGTGTGATGTGTCTATTCTTCATAATTAACATTTTATTGATGAAATATATAATTCCATTCATTTTAAATTGTATTTTTTTTTTAGTTATATATAAACAAGTTCAAATATAGGGCGTTTATATGCAGCAATAGTTAATACAAAAAGGATTATTGTTTTCGATAAATTGTAATGCGATAGTAGACATGCGCAGTTATATGTAATGTCATAATAAACATATGAACGATAAACAGTCAAACTCATGCTTAATTCAATATAGCTAGGAATCCAAAGTTTAGGGCACTAAACAAAAATTGACTTAGACACCTCAAAATCAGTGTGCGGACCTGTATATACATATATATTATCTATAAAATAATATATACATATATAACAATATATAACAATATATATATATATATATATATATATATATATATATATATATATATATATATATATATATATATATATATATATATATATATATACATATATATACATATATATATATATATATATATATATATATATATATATATATATATATATATATATATACATATAATATATATATATATATATAATATATATATATATATATATATATATATATATATATATATATATATATATATATATATATATATATATATATATAAACATATTTGTGTTTTGTACTTATGTATTATATAATATATACATAAATGTAAATAAAAGAACTAAATTAAAACCAGCTATGCTGTAATTACACTTATCATGTTTATTTAGACATATTTAAAATACTTAAACTTTTCAGATATTGATTTTCATTTATCTTGTAACCATATAATTTAACTTACGAACCTACCACGTTATCACATTTGGTATCAACTACGTTTATGGACATTTATGGATCTTCAAAATATAAAAATACTATTTAAAAACCAATTTTAAACCAAACTTTTTTTTTTGGTCCTTAGTCTCATCAAAGTTAACTTTTAAAGACTCTCATGTTCAACAGAAAAAAATGATCAAATTAGATGAAAGAGGTATTAGCTCATAGTTTGGCGTAAATAACTTTTGATTGAGTTAAGCTTTGAGAAAATTTTATAAAAACTAGTTACTTATACAGTTATTGTCATAAAATTTCTGATGATTGCAAAATTATTTTTAGCTCTTTTTTATGCCTTAAACAGATGCTCAATTTGTTGACGAAGTCTCAAATAAATGTCATTCAAAAAAATATGAGTTTTTCAACATCACCTTTTGTTTCTTAGATTTTTAGCATCACATCTTCATAACATTATCTATACGAAACCCAAGAGCATAAATAGTGTCACGTTTGAAACTACACATGGTCTCACAAAAGCGCTTTTTATTGATTTGCGCATAACTTTTTAAAACATCCTATCTATAAATTAAGACTGAAAATTAGTTATAAATTTTTTTCACTGTGTTGAAAAAGGTTACCGACTGTGTAGCTCTACCTACTGCATGCACACTAGAAGGGTTCAGTGAATGATTTTAGCATGTTATAAAAAAAATTATGGAGTTGAATTTCAAGATTTTTTTGTGAACCCTCCATATTTGTCCAGTCATTGTAGCCACGTTGTAGTATAATTGACTATAACAACCCTATTTCTAAATTAAATGCTTCAAGCTTGCTGACTATTTAAGAAGTGTCTCGTTTACTGTTTTTTTTCTATAAAGAAATCAATTCATATACTACTACTTCATCATTTTTATTATGGACATGCCTAATTAACGTATAACTTGTGACAGATGATTAATGTGAGAGGGTGTGCTAGAATAACATTTTACTTTCCTAATCTCATCAAGAATAGACATCATAATCTGATCACATTTCGAGTTATAAACTTACTCTGTATTGTAGGAGAGATTAAACCATGCGGGATATATTTTATGTAAAACTTGTCTTGTTTCAAGAAAATTGTTGTTTAAAATTTCCTGAGCTAAAAAAATCATTTTTTTTATCTCAAAAGTAAACTTTGTTTTGCTTAAAATAATAAACAAATTTCGAAATTAAAAACTTGTTTTAAAATGGTCTTCCATTTTTCGTTGTATTTATTTATTTGCATTTATAAAGCTGAATCAATCATTGATTTACAAAAAAAACATCGTTTACAAATGTTTTCATAAGTGTTTTTACAATATATATATATATATATATATATATATATATATATATATATATATATATATATATATATATATATATATATATATATATATATATATATACACAAATATATATCATTCAGGGGTATTGAAGTATGATAAATGGTTTAAGATATAAGATCAAAACTAGTTATAAATAACTTACATGCTTCAGAATAGGTGCTCTTGGATCTGTCGCTACATCAAACGCATATACTCGCCCAGAGTTAACTGATGGCAAAATTAACAGATTTCGTTTGTAATTTGGATTATTGTAACAGCTGTAATTTTAAAAAGCAAATATTTTATAAGCAAAATATAAACATTAAAACACATTTTTTTTTAGAGAAAAATTTTGTTTGTAGTAAAAAGTATTAAATCAAAATTTTGTAAAAATATTTAAGCATTAAAATATGTATTTAAAAAACTACGTAAATCCATACCTGCTACAAGAATTCCAACCACTATGATGAAGCTCATCAACACTATTCGGAAGAAAAGTTCTGTGAATGATCTATTAAAAAAGTTAATCTATAACTGAATTTAGATTAAATGTAAATAAAATTTGTTTTATTTTTCTTTGCACGAATAAATCAAGGAGATAGGGTATTCTATGTAATAAGAGAAAACACTTATACTTAAGATAATATTGTCAGGCTCTTTGGAACTCTGTTCTGATTACGAATCAATAATTTTACATATTAAAATTACAATTGAATATAAAACAAATATCGTTAAAAGTTAAACTGTAATTGTTAACAGCTTATAACTCAAACTGGTTACCACCAAGTGATATTTGGTTGTAGGTCTGCTTTTCTATTGGTTTTAAGTGTATTAACATTATATAAACAGATAGTTTTGAAAATGCTTGCCAGAAATATGTTAATGAGTTATAGTTTTAGCTTTCAACATAAACCTTTGCAAACTTTCAAATAAAATATGGACCAAGGTCTTATTTACAACAATATTTAATCCATCTTTTATTGTTTGTGGAATTGATACCTCTTATGAAATTATGGTGCTCTCAGGAGCTTTATTTACTTAAATATAAAGATGGATAGTTTTAAATACATTTTTTTTCAAATTACTGAACATTGAAAAATCAGCTATGAAACTAAATCTCTAAAATAAGAACTTGTTAAAAACTGACTTTAAACAAAAATTACAAAAATTAAAGTTAAAAAAATATAGTTCATTAGCATTTGCATGCAATACATGATCACAAATTACATAAATATTATTAGTTCAATTAAAATTCAAAGATTTGTCAGAGTATCGAATGTTCAGATACTTATCATAAAAAAAAATTTTTAAAATGGTTTAGACAATGCCTAGGTAGTCCAACCTCTAGCGGTTAATAAATATGTGCCCCCTCAAAGAAAAATCTTGTGGCAAAAAAGGGGGTATCAAGCATGGTAAAAATATTTAAAGAGAATTAAATATGAAAAATTTTATGTAGAACACAAACCAGATTCATACTTTGTTTGATTAAACAAATTTAAAGGTACTATATGTAATGCCTGTAGTGGTACGGTACTTACATATAATATTACACATGTATTAAATCCAGTTAATATTAATTGATGGTAGGCTACCATACTAGTTTTCATTTATCACTATATATCACTGCTTTTAAATAATATAATTTTCTTTTAATTTTTTTGATTTGAGGTAGTTATTAAAATCTACTTAGACACCTCGGGGTTCTGAATGGTTTTTGTCAATCCTAAAATGATATTTAATAAATCAAATTGCAGAAAAATAAAATTAGAGCTACTGTATCATTGGATACAATTAACATTTATTTTGATGATTTAAAGACAGTCTCACAGGTGTCCTGCTATTAGGTTCTAAAATGTTAACTTATTTGTTGCAACCTCTTGACTCTCCTTTTCACCCACATAAAATTGATTAGCAGGAAGTTTTTTTGAAATAGAGGGACCAAGGAAACCTCTAAAAGATTCATTTTTCTCCTCTACTCACGCAGCTCTGTAATATTATCAAACTAAATGCTGACGTCAAAACTTTTCTAATAGGTTTTCGCAAAATAGGGTTTTTTGCCTCTTTTTTGAGTTAAAGAGATAAAGCTGTTGTCAGACAAGGTTTTTAAAGAATTCGTGGGGCAGTGGCTAGATCTTTAATCAATCAAATGTATTGAGGTATTACTTCAGTTTGGGCAAGATAAACGGCATTTGTAAGAAAGGAGTTGTAAACTTCCTGGTCATAGCACTCTTTAAGAGAAAGGTCTTGTACGCAACAATTATTAAAAAAAATTTGCGGTGGCCGGTATTTTAAAAATAAATATGATGAATAGTATTTTAAAATAAAAAATGTTTTATTTGTAAAATACATCAGATGATGTAAAGATTTAACAAAGTTTTTACATCAATTTATAAATTTTTACAACAATTTATAAATTTTTTAATAATAAACTTCATTTTATTGTTTCGATCCACAAAATTGTCTATATACTTAAATAAAAACGAGTTTCAAATAAGGTAAAAAAATAAAAGTTGTAAAAATACTGTAGCTACACATTTAAATAAAATATATATTTAGTGCTTTAAAGAAATAAGGAATACTTTTAAAATCATAAAACAGAAACTTGAAATAATTAACAAACTTTTACTATAAAAATAACAAAAAATGAATTAATGTTTAAATTTCAATTTAACTAAACAACTTTGAAGTATTCAGAGATGATTTTTTGCTTGATTTTGATGTAAAAAGTTTAAATGAAAAGTAATGAAGTTTTATAAGACCCTTATACAGTATTATCAAAAGTACTTTTTTACCCACCTCTATCGACAGAGTAGGGATATTTTTTAAAAAAAGACTTTTTTAAAATAAAAACTTTTCTAGTTTAATTTCATTTTCTTAATGATACTTATCATTTTTAGACACATATCGGGCAATTTAAATTGTCAATAACCTCAGCTAAAGATTTATCAAGTAAAAGTACACAAACCGATAAGAATTTCCTGCACCTGAAGTTGACCCATTAATGTTTTATGACTACAAAAATAAGATTTTCGAAATGTTGAGTTTATTAATTATTTGTTAAACACTCAAAAAATATGCACCGCCAGGTCCTTATATTAACCTGCTGAGATTTTTTTCAAGTTGGCCTGTAGCAAGAGTTTCCAAAATAACATATTTTTGTGTTTCTCTTAAAATGTTTTTGTCAGTTCAACAAAATCTTTACGTAAATGATTTATGGAATGTTGTGTATCATGTGTTAATTGTTTTTAATTCTTTTCCCAGATTGTTTTTTTTTTTAATTCGCAAATTAAAAAAAAATATATATTTTTTAAACTTTGCGTATCACGACCTTATGTGTAAAAAGCGCTATGAATAAAAATCATAAGGTCTTCTTGAAGAACTTTGATAACTAAAAAAAGAAGAAAAATTTTCTTGCTGAAACAAACGGAAGACTCATGTATCAAATTGCTTCGAGAGATGCTGTATAGAAAAATTAGTTAACAATTGGATAAAAAAGAGCCGCTTCCAAACAAGGAAAAAAATGACTGAAGAAGCTAATATTTTAAAAACCGTATTTAAAAAAATCAGTAGAGGAGGAATGTCTATCCGAAATTGTTCTTACACCGATAATGACCAACTTAATAGCACTGCCATCAAGTAAGTCTGGATCAATTTAAGTTTTACGGCTTTTCTGGACTGTCTCTATTGCTTTATGATCTAAACAATTCAACACTCGATGAAATAACAAGCTCAATCTGCACTGCCTCTAACAAATGAAATTTACTAAAATGCTCAATTTTACTCGCAAATAAAAACTTTAACTTTAGAAACTCAGCGTACTCAAATGTGTACGTTGGAGGTGGTATTGTGACTTTTGCAAATGTGCAAAACAACTGGCCTACATATAAAACATTTTGAGACTGGCTTAAAAAGAATTGCTAACAAACTTCTTTAGGCATAATTATTTACAAAAATAGCTTAAGGCTTTTACACTATTAAATTTATAAAATTGTTTACTCATATAAGCCATTCACACAAGCTAGAAAGATTTTTAAAACTTTAAAACTTATACAGTGAATCAAATCAGTATAACTCTCCTAACCAAAACTGAGAGAAGTCAAAATACCACAAGAATGAGTTTAAAAAACATCAAGGGTAGGCTACTTTACTAATAAACACAACCCCAATGATATTCATGAAAAACTGATGATATTGGTTCTTTTAGAAGCAATGAATTGAAAGTGACCAAAAAAAAATGGAAGTGTCTTTTATGAAGCTTCTTCTCATTGAATATTGTAAAATAGAATTGAGTCATTATCTATTCATTAGTTTTAAAAGTTATGCTAGAACTAAGAAAAAATAAACTTAAAAGGTTAATGAAATACAAACTTCAAGCAAAAAAAAAATAAATGAGCTGTATTGAGCTTCATGAAGGTTATCGGTCCTACCGAGAAACTTTTTTTTAACCTCCAATTATCAACAGAAGTATTGTGTACCCTAGAGAGTTCGTTTTACGGATGTAAATGCCAAATAAACTTGGAAAAAGAATTTGAAAAGAAAAGTGTTCTTTTTCTCAGTAATAATTATAGGACAGGACGGCTACTTAAAATAATATTCTTTTCACTGAAATCTCGATCAAAACCATATAATATGCGTATATTATAGTAAAATATAAGTATATTATATTATAAACTTTGATTTTCAAATATAGTTTTAAGCTGCTCCAAGTGAATATTATACAGTCCTATACTCTCCATAGTAATAACTTGCCAAACATTTGCCATTCTCAACTCTGATATATGATGTTTGTATGCAAGTTGTATCTTATAGTAGCTTGTTTCCATAGTCTTTCTTGCCAGCGCTCTTCCTCATGATTTTCTTGCTAGAGCTGTTTAGTTTTTGTATTACAGCTTATATAAATATACAATAATTTTGGGTTTATTAAGAAAAAGTAGTTGTAATGGGTATAGTAAAAAGACAAAGCTTATCAACATCAAAGCCGAAGTTTATACGGATTTTAATTCTGAATATGAAATTAAATGTTTGAAAAATGAATATGAAGGTTATATTTATGAATCAAGGAAATTATTTGTTGCTTTTCGGGCTAGATTTATCATTGGCATTAACTTAAATTTTTAAAATTTAATCTATCGTTTTCTCAGATTGAAAATCTTAAACAGGCATTTTATATCGAAATGAACAAAATGAAAATTAAAAGTACTATTTACTTAAAATCAAATGTAAATAAATTTAATGTATATTAGTTAAACATAAAGAAAATTTACTAACTTGACTAAAATTGAATATATTATAGAATTCCGCCAAGGTTGCTTTCAAATATGCTATATTAACAGTTAAGTACATAACATTTTAAAAATAGGTATTCAATTAGGTAAGTAAGGTTTTTGAAATAAATACTAAGTTCTAATATATAGTGATGGATTTAGTATAATTCGTGTAGTACAGAGCGAACTGCCACCACGCTTCCTACGCTTCCACGCCCCCACGCCTCCAAGAATTAGGCGCTCTCTAAAACTGTAATATCTAGTTTAATTAATCAAAATCGTTGCCAAATTAAACGCAAAAAAATGAGTTAAAACAAATGACTTATGCAACCTTATCTTTATCAAAACAAGATTTATAAAACAGAAGACAAAGATTTTCTTGAGAAAAGCAAGATTTATCAAACAGGGAACACAGATTTTCTTAAGATTTTATGAGAATAATTTTCTTAGCAAAACTTGGTTTATTATACAAAATATACAAATTTTTTCTGTGTTTAATACAAACTCTTTTTCTGTGTTAGCTAAATATGACCTGTCTTAGAAAAATCATCTTAGGAATGTTATTTTAGGTATAAAAAAAGAAACGGAAAGTAATGAAGTTTTGTTGTTATAATTCAATGTAGTGTTCTCCAAAGAGACAAAACCAGAAATTTATGATCTACTTTTTTATTTAATACTAACTTTTACTTGATTTGCGTTTTTACAAAATCAATCGACAACGTCTATTAAGCTAAAATCTTCAGATATTTACATTAAAAACCGTATAAACATGTTAAAAATAGTAACTAAAAGTAACTAATAAACAGTCACTAATTTCAAACTTGTCACTGACCTTAGAGTTTACTACAATATAATTACATTCAATTGCTTCCCTTTTCATTTATTAAGTTAGCTCTTTTGTTGTTGTTGTTGTTGTTGCTATTGTTGTTGCTGTTATTGTTGTTGTTGTTGTTGTTGTTGTTGTTGTTGTTGTTATTGTTGTTGTTGTTGTTGTTGTTGTTGTTGTTAATTCTTCTATTAATATTTTTCCAAAACTGATTAGATTTCAATAGTTTTATAATTGATTTTAAAACTAGGTAATGTTGTGGAAAAACTTAGGCTTCAAAACTGTTGAAAGTAGTAATATTGAAACATTTTTAGTAAAGTTTTTTTAGGAAGTGAAACAAAAAATTGATATTAGACTC